TCATGTTTTTACTTTTTTAAATCTCCCTCTGGTTCTGCCCCCCTGCGTCGTGACGCTCTCAGGGAAGGGAACCCGGAAGACGGATGCCGGCATTGGCTGGAGGAGACAGCGGGAGGACATCGGGGGATCGTAGGACAAGGTAAGGATTGGGGGATCACAGGACAAGGTAAGGATCGGGGGATCGCAGGACAAGGTAAGGATCGGGGGATCGCAGGACAAGGTATGGATCGGGGGATCGCAGGACAAGGTATGGATCGGGGGATCGCAGGACAAGGTATGGATCGGGGGATCGCAGGACAAGGTATGGATCGGGGGATTGCAGGACAAGGTAAGGATGGAGGGATTGCAGGACAAGGTAAGGATCGGGGGATCGCAGGACAAGGTAAGGATCGGGGGATCACAGGACACGGTATGGATCAAGGGATCGTAGGACAAGGTAAGGATCGGGGGATCGCAGGACAAGGTAAGGATCAAGGGATCGCAGGACAAGGTATGGATCGAGGGATCACAGGACAAGGTAAGGATTGGGGGATCGCAGGACAAGGTAAGGATTGAGGGATCGCAGGACAAGGTAAGGATTGAGGGATCATAGGACAAGGTATGGATCGGGGGATTGCAGTACAAGGTAAGGATGGAGGGATTGCAGGACAAGGTATGGATCGGGGGATTGCAGGACAAGGTAAGGATAGAGGGATTGCAGGACAAGGTAAGGATTGGGGGATTGCAGGACAAGGTAAGGATGGAGGGATTGCAAGACAAGGTAAGGATCGGGGGATCGCAGGACAAGGTAAGGATCAGGGGATCGCAGGACAAGGTGGGGATCGCAGGAAAAGGTATGGATCGGGGGGGAGCGCGACAGGTATGGACAAGGGGAGCGCAGGATCAAGGTATGGATCGGGCGAGCGCAGGACAAGGTATGGATCGGGGGGAGCGCAGGACAAGGTATGGATCGGGGGAGCGCAGGACAAGGTATGGATCGGGGGAGCGCAGGACAAGGTATGGATCGGGCGATCGCAGGACAAGGTATGGATCGGGTGATCGCAAGACAAGGTAAGGATCGGGGGATCGCAGGACAAGGTATGGATCGGGGGATCGCAGGACAAGGTAAGGATCGGGGGATCGCAGGACTAGGTAAGGATCAGGGGAGCGCAGGACAAGGTAAGGATCGGGGGATCGCAGGACACGGTAAGGATTGGGGGATCGCAGGACAGGGTAATGATCGGGGGATTGCAGGACAAGCACTACAGTGTAATCCTGAGTGTGGCTCAGGGTTACTGCTTTTGGTACTGGCAATTATCTCCGAGCTACACTCGGGATTACCGCTAGGAAGGTTAAGAACATCTATGAATTTACAGGTAGAAGGAGCTGATCAAAAAGGTAAGTATAAATATTAAGAAGAACTCCTAGAAGCTGTTATCAGCATTTTTTTCTGCTTCTAGAAGCTAAATAGTATTATCCTATGTGTCCAGGCACACTATTTTAGGCTAGTAGCGTTTTTTAAGTTTCAGCGTTCAGGAGCAGAAGAAAAAATTATTTTTGTAGAATTTTTGGGAGCGTTTTTCTGCCAGAAAAAAAAACGCTGAATGCTCCCAAATGCTACTGAAATGTTTTTAACAGTTTTTTCTCTACATGTACTGTAAAAACCCTAATAAAATGCTAACGCTTCTAAATGCTATTAAAACTCTACTACAAGCCGGCACAAAATGGCTATTATCAGCGTTTTTCACCCAGCTTTCTTTTTCTTGTATCTTTCGAGCTTATAAAAAAACGCTATTGTGCATGGAGCCTGAGGCTAGGTTCACACTTATGCAGGTTGCTTTTGACTTGTTTCTGCATTGTGTTTTGTGTTGATTTTATGCACCTGTGTTTTTGAAATTTTTTGCCGTGTTTTTGATACGTTTTGTGTTTTTTTCCTTTTTCTTGTTGCTAGGCAGATTTAAAACGCATCAAAAACACTGCAAAAATGCACTACATGCTTTTCTTCAGCATTTCCATTGAACCAAAAACGCAACTTTTTGTGTTAAAAATGTTTTGATGTGTTTTGTGGGCTTTACTTCATTTTTTTTGTTTTTCTTGTTACTAGGCAGATTTAAAATGCAAAGCGCATCAAAAATGCATAAAAAATGAGGCAAAAACGCAATACATGATTTTCGGCAGCATTTCCATTGAAGTCTACAGCAACAAAAATGCAACTTTTTGCATTAAAAAAAGTCCCCGACCTTTTCCAAAAAATGCACCAGGTGAAAACACGGAGATGTGAACATGTCCCATAGGAAATCATGTTAAATGGACTGTACTGCCTTTCTGTAAAACACAAAACGCTGCTGAAAACGCTTACGTTTGAACCTAGGGTTAGGCCTCTTGTACACGGCACTGATGTTTGAGCATGTTTTTTTTTTTTTACGTAACTTCAGACATTTGCTTTGCATGTATTTACATGCATATTTTCACGCATTTGTGAGCATAATATATTCTTAGGGAAAATGCATTAATATTTATGCTCATATGCGCATATTCGTACACATTATAAATAGCGGGCTACATTTTACCTAAGAAAAAAAAAAAAAAAGCTGTACTGAACTTTTTCAAGCTGCAGTGTGCAAGAGGCCTAAGGATCCGCGCGAAAATCCATGCAGCCGCACCACCCGCACAGAGAAAGGTGGACCCGTGGGCGGGTGCCATTAATTCTAATGGCACACAACCCGCACTGGAAAACGCAACCATACTGGGAACCGAGGTTCCTGTGTGAGCTGCATTTTTGGAAGAAACGCAGGGACTTCAAATGAATGGGCTCTAGTGCCCATGCAAAACACGGCCCGCACGGCCGCATACAGTGGGGCAAAAAAGTATTTAGTCAGCCACCAATTGTGCAAGTTCTCCCACTTAAAAAGATGACAGAGGCCTGTAATTGGCATCATAGGTAGACCTCAACTATGAGAGACAAAATGAGAAAAAAATACAGACAATCACATTGGGCTGATTTGGAAAGAATTTATTTACAAACTATGGTGGAAAATAAGTATTTGGTCAATATGAAAAATTCATCTCAATACTTTGTTATATATCCTTTGTTGGCAATGACAGAGGTCAGACGTTTCCTGTAAGTCTTCACAAGGTTGGCACACACTGTTGCTGGTATGTTGGCCCATTCCTCCATGCAGATCTCCTCTAGAGCAGTGATGTTTTGGGGCTGTCGCTGGGCAACACGGACTTTCAACTCCCTCCAAAGGTTTTCTATGGGGTTGAGATCTGGAGACTGGCTAGGCCACTCCAGGACCTTGAAATGCTTCTTACAAAGCCACTCCTTCGTTGCCCGGGCAGTATGTTTGGGATCATTGTCATGTTGGAAGACCCAGCCACATTTCATCTTCAATGCCCTTGCTGATGGAAGGAGGTTTGCACTCAAAATCTCACGATACATGGCCCCATTCATTCTGTCCTGTACATGGATCAATCGTCCTGGTCCCTTTGCGGAGAAACAGCCCCAAAGCATGATGTTGCCACCCCCATGCTTCACAGTAGGTATGGTGTTCTTTGGATGCAACTCAGCATTCTCTCTCCTGCAAACATGACGAGTTGTTTTTCTACCAAACAGTTCTATTTTGGTTTCATCTGACCATATGATATTCTCCCAGTCCTCTTCTGGATCATCCAAATGCTCTCTAGCAAACTTCAGACGGGCCCGGACATGTACTGGCTTAAGCAGGGGGACACGTCTGACACTGCAGGATCTGAGTCCCTGGCGGCGTAGTGTGTTACTGATGGTAGCCTTTGTTACGTTGGTCCCAGCTCTCTGCAGGTCATTCACTAGGTCCCCCCCCCCCCCCGTGTAGTCCTGGGATTTTTGCTCACTGTTCTTGTGATCATTTTGATCCCACGGGGTGAGATCTTGCGTGGAGCCCCAGATCGAGGGAGATTATCAGTGGTCTTGTATGTCTTCCATTTTCTAATTATTGCTCCCACAGTTGATTTGTTCACACCAAGCTGCTTGCCTATTGCAAATTCAGTCTTCCCAGCCTGGTGCAGGTCTACAATTTTGTTTCTGGTGTCCTTCGACAGCTCTTTGGTCTTCACCATAGTGGAGTTTGGAGTGTGACTGTTTGAGGTTGTGGACAGGTGTCTTTTATACTGATAACAAGTTCAAACAGGTGCCATTGATACAGGTAATGAGTGCAGGACAGAGGAGCCTCTTAAAGAAGAAGGTACAGGTCTGTGAGAGCCAGAAATCTTGCTTGTTTGTAGGTGAACAAATACTTATTTTCCACCATAATTTGCAAATAAATTCTTTCCAAATCAGCCAATGTGATTGTCTGGATTTTTTTTCTCATTTTGTCTCTCATAGTTGAGGTCTACCTATGATGCCAATTACAGGCCTCTGTCATCTTTTTAAGTGGGAGAACTTGCACAATTGGTGGCTGACTAAATACTTTTTTGCCCCACTGTATGTGAACAGGTACCGAGACATAAAAAATTTGAACTGAAAATTTAATTTATTATAGCAGGGGTCTCCAAACTTTTCATGCAAAGGGCCAGTTTACTGCACTTCAGAGTTTAGGGGGGTCAAATTATGGTCAGTGGGGGTAGAAAATGTCCCGGGACCAGGATCCATGAGAATAAACATGGCCTTAGGGTTGGTGGTCAGTAAAAGGAAGAGTATTGCCCCATCATTGGTATTAGTGGAAGAAATAGTGCACCATTGTTGGTGTCAGTGGGAGGAATAGTGCTTTGTATCATTCAGAGGAATAGTGCCCCAAGGGACGGTTAAATGCTAGCAAAGGGCAGCATTCGGCCCCCGGGCCACAGTTTGGAGACCTCTGTATTATAGGAATTTACCAAAAGTAATGCAATAGTGGTCATCACATTTTTATTAAAGTATAACTAAAAGCATTTTTTTTTATTTTGGTTTTATTTTGAGTAAAGGAGTGTTTTTTTTAATTCTTTTTATTTTTGGTAGACGACAATACAACCAAAGGTCTTGTACAATGCATAGAGCACTACATTAACCACTTCCCATCCGGCCCATGTACATAAACGGCCGGACAGGAGCAGTGCAGGAGCCGGTTGGCCTTCATAAACGGCGCCCGCATTTTCAGGCTGTGCGCGCTCCCTGGGGACATTGATCGCTGTACGGGACCTCTGTGTGAGGTCCAAATCATGTGATCACTGATTGGCCAATCAGTGATCACAGGAATAGTAGTAAGCAAGATGTCACTTCCTGACATCATTGTTCACTACTAGTGAAATCTGTGAATGATCACAGAGGTCACATGGTGCAAGGCTATTCTTGACAGCCTTGTACCATGTGACAAGCACTGACCAATCACAGCTCTCACAGTATTTCTCAATGGCTGCAAGAATTCAGGCAGAGAGAAGGAGAAATGATTGCTTTTACAGCCTTTGGGTGTAAAACCAATCAGTGTGGAAAAAAAAAATCTTCATTACCCCCCCACAAGTAGCACAGTGTCACTATGGTATGTAAAAAAAAACAATATAAAAAAATAAAATAAGAATCTAAAAATTTTTGTTTTTAAATTAGAATTTTTGATTATAAACTAATTTGGGTTTTTTTTTACTAAAAAGGTAACCAAAATAAATTTTGACCAAGATTTATGAAGAAAAATTATTTATTTGCAAAAGTTTATAAGAAAAACACCTTTTTTCAAAATTTTTGGATATTTTCATTTATATAGCAAAAAAAAAAAAAAAGGCAGTGGTGAATAAATACCACCAAAATAAAGTTTTATGTCTCAAAAAAATGCTAAACAATTCATATGGGTACAGTGTTGCATGACCGCGCAATTGTCATTCAAAGTGTGATAGCACTGAAAGCTGAAAATTGACCTGAACTGGACGGGGGGTAAAAGTGTCTGGACCTGAAATGGTTAAGAAGGCACAGCAACAAAGAATATCTGGTAAGTAAGGGGGGGATTTATCCCCTGTAAGGTTTTCCTTTGCCGTTTGTGTCCCATAGGGGAGTTTTTCTCTTCTAATTTGGTTGTTAGTGCAAATACAAAAGATTTGGCCCCCGGTCCACCATGTAGTGATGCCTGCCTTGGGTTATAAATATGGAACAAGTTACTTTGTGTCTGCTTGTGACTGCTATTACAAAACTAGGTGAAAGAGCAAGAATAGCTAGAATTTTCTAAATTGTTTCACTGTAACCAAATTGGACAGATTATTACTTCACAAACATATCATTTACTCATAAAACTATAATTAGAAACAAATGCTAAATTTTTTTAGGGAGGGGAAAAAAAGTTTTAATCCGTCTCCTGGTCCGAGAATAAACCAGGAAAAGTGATGAAAGGTGGAGGAAAAAATAGAGAAACAATCTGAAAAGGACTAGAAAATGTGTTTGTGTGAGTGAATGCATCCCGCCAGAGGCATCCAGATTAACAAGCAGATGTTGCAGGAGGTAATCGTGTGGCAGTTAATTGTCTTCTCCGGGGTCACCGGGTGCCGGGGCAGGATTTCACGCAGACTTCCTGCTCCAGAGTCACATTCAGAGCTGTCCAGCAGTGATATATATAGAAGAGGGAACATTATTATTATTATTATACAGGATTTATATAGCGCCAACAGTTTGCTCAGCGCTTTACAATATAATGGGAGACAATACAGCAACAATACAGTTCAATACAAGAGGGATAGGAGGGCCTGATCCTTGGAGCTTACAATCTAGGAGGACATGCCTGGAATCTGTAGGCACAGCTCCTCCTAATAACAACCTCAGCGCAGCCAGGCGCACACTGCACCATGCGTTAAACTGACTGCAGCCAAGCACGCATCACACCTCTGTATGTGGATCTATATACAGTAAAAAATGTGTCTATTTTATGTTAAGAAAATGCAATTCATCCCAAAGCCAACCTTTTTTTTTTTGCTAGATTTTTATTAGAACATAAGTAACATGGTTGCATGGTTGCACAGACATGCTGGCCATTGGAAATCATGGGCCCCCATGCAGCCTGCCAGACAGGGCCCCTCCTCATAAAACCTACCTGATAGGACCACCCTCTGCACTACTGTACATGCATCCAGTATTGTCTGCTCCTGGCCCCTTCCTGAACTGATAGGGCCCAGGCCTAGTACAAAGCTCTACCCCCCATCAGCCACCCTGCACATACAGAACCATATAGAGATACTTTAAAGTGTATGTAAATCATAACAACAAATTTCCCATTAGTTGCTCCCTGCTGGTCTTGCAAATAACTCACTGAATGCATTTTATTATATTGCCACAATAGTAAAATCAGTCTGTATATGCAGTAAAGTATGCTTGCTATACTCACTGTGGAACCTAAGGGGTTAATCCTCTGCATTGCGTAAAAAGGCTGTTTGATCCCGTCTACTCTGATCTTCCACTGTCCCCAATCCATTTGCTGATAGTACAGAGCCCTAGGAGACACTCTTCACATGCTCAGTTTGGCGTGTATTGCTAGAGAGTTCTTTTTTTTGGGGGGGGGGGTGCATGTGATCAGCACAGCAACGATCAGCACTGTCTAGACAGAGGTCAGGGGTCCTGCAGCCTCATAGGATAGTCAGAGGAGAATGAAAACTCCTCCTACAAGATTAACCAGTGCTCTGCTGTACATTGATTGAAGTCACAAGACGGCTATATACTGCTGATGATAAAAGGTATTTAACACTTTATATTTACTACAATGATTGCATTTCCATGTTCTGTGTACTGTGGGAGACCAGATATAGTGAATGCAGGGTCTGGGGTTTAGTAACACTTTTAAAAAAAGTCACTGTTCAAACAATTCATTTGAATAGCTGTAGAGACTGAAAAGTCCATAGCAATACATACAAGAGGTAAAATGGCGGGTGGTGCCGCTGCAGATCTGCACGAAAATCCGTGCAGCTGCACCACCCGCACAGAGGAATGCAGACCCACGTGCGGGTGCCAATAATTCTAATGGCACGCCCAGGGGCGGACTGACAACTCATGGGGCCCCCGGGCAATAGGGGATCATGGGGCCCCTGTGTCCTTGCCCAAACTCAAAAAAGCCTATGAAAAAGGTACCAGGGGCATTTCATGGGGCCCCCTACTGACCCCGGGCCCTCGGGCAGAGCCCGAGTTTCCAAATGGTCAGTCCGCCTCTGGGCACTCCGCCCGCACTGGAAAACGCAACTGTACTGGGAACCGAGGTTCCTGTGTGGGCTGTGTTTTCTAAAGAAGTGCAGGGACTTCTTCCCTGCGTGTCACGGGCATTGGAGTCCATTCAAATGAATGGGCTCTCATGCCCATGCAAACGCAGCCTGCACGGCCGCATATATGTGAACCGGGGGATAAAAACAGTTTGTGTTTTACAGAGTTTTTTTCAGTGGAGCTGTGTGAAAGCCGCATAAATCATGTGTGGTGCGGTGCAGTTTTTGAAGTGATTTTGCGTAAAAACAAAAGCGCGAGAAAAGCTCAAGAAAAATGCATCCCTCTAAATTCAATGTATGCCTTCACACTGGTCTGTTGGGCTTCCCTTGCGGTGTTAAAAATCCTGCTTACCGCATTTTTGGTCAGTTAAAAAAAATGCACCTCCCCATTGAGGCTTGGTTTACACCAATGCATTTTTTTTTGTGCTTTTTGGAGGAACGCACTACAGTCCATTTAGCATGGTTTCCTATGAGACACATTCACATCTATTCTTTTTTGAGCTGCTGCATTTTTGGAAAGGGTCAGGGACATTTTTAAACTCAATACTATTATTATTATTATTATAATACAGTATTTATAAAGCGCCAATAGTTCGCTCAGCGCTGTACATTACAAAGGGGGACAGAACATGTGACAGAACAATACCAATACAATGCAAAACATGAGGGGATCGAGGGCCCTGCTCTTTCGAGTTTACAATCTAGGATCTACTATGCATTTTTGGTTAGAACAGACTTCAATGGAGATGCTGCAGAAAATGAATATAGTGCGTTTTTAATGGGTTCTTCAAGCGTTTTACGTTTTTAATCTGTCCAGCAACAAGTTGGCCAAAAATGAAAAAAAAAGAAAAAATGCAGAATGCATCAAAAGATGCAAAACGCACTGCAAAACAGACAAAATGCAAACTGCGTTGGTATGAACCAGGCCTGAAATGCACTGAAAATGCAGCAAAATTGCATCAAACATGCACACATGTTGCGTTTTTGATGCGATTTTTGAGTCACATAACCTATGAAAAACGCACCCTAAAATCATAGCAAAACCGCAGGTAAAATCACGATACATTTCGGCCACCGATATATTGGCGCATCCCTAATCAGCTTCCAGGGTTTTTTTTATCAAAGCTTAACTGAGCAAGCTGAAGTTAGAAGCTGATTGGCTGCCATGCACAGCTGCACCAGGTTCTGAGTGCTCCAGTTTTAGTAAATCTCCCCCTGTGTTTCCCAGCGGAGGAATGATTGCAGAAGGCAGGGTTGATAGCTGATCCTGCCCCATACCTCCGCTGCACTCAGTCATGTGATATCACCAATCACATGACCAAGCACAGCCGACTCCTATGGAGGAACTTTGCCCTGCGTCTCTCAGTTGGGAAGGTCTACAGACATGTTAGTCTATAGGGGGCAGTAAAGTGCAGAGGTGGTGTGCAGTCCAGTCCAGTCTAGGCAGTCACTGTGCTTTCTCCCGCACTAAGTAGGGTCCTGATCGCAAGAGAAAATATAACATAGTGTATATTTAGGCTCCATGCATACGGGGCATTTTAATAATGCTGGTAGCGTCAGCTGTGTAAAGTCACGTCAAAACCGCTAGTTTTTCAGCGTTTTTGCATTAGCTTTTAGCCGTGTTTTTCCACGTTTTTCTATGTTTGCGGTTTTTGCTCAAAAAAAGTCCAAGAATTCCGGTTTGCCGTGTTTTACCACATTTTTCAGCAATAGAGCATTTTTACAGCTAAAAAAAATCCTCTAGAAACCCACTAGTTCTGTTTTTTTTCCAGCCAAAAAGCGCCCTGACAAAAAAAGCTGATTACAGCCTATGTGTGCATGGACACATAGGATAACATGCTGGGGGGTTTACGGGCTATCGAAAAAAATGCCAAAAGCCCAAAATAGCCGCTGTAAAAACGTAGTGTGTGCATGAGGACTTAATGAGCTCATATTTGGAGTTATTGTTGCTCTATTTAGTTTAAAGTGATTAAAGCGAATATTCGATGTGACATTTTACCTTCTTGTACTTCCTCTCTTTGTTATTGTATAAAGTTTTTAGATGTGGCTATCAGCCAGGTAATGAAGACTGTAACCAGTGCCAAGTTGGGGAATTAAATGCCTCTCCAAGCAACAAGTAAAATCAACCAGCAAACTGCTAATGTAACTTAAGAAGCACTCCAAGAATGTGCGAGTGAGAA